AAAAAGACAGAATATCTATGCGTAGGCAACAAAGGACAAGACCTAGAAATGGAAAACGGAAACAAAATAAAATCATGTACAGAATTACACATATCTAGGTACCAACATACATAATAATGGAAAAAGCGACAATACCATCAATAATAGAATCAACAAAGCTAGAAACATTACAGTGGCACTAAATTATATTCTTTGGCAAAAAAATATAAATACCACAACAAAAACCCACATATATGACACTATAGTTAAGAGCACACTTACTTATGGCGCTGAAGTATGGCAGATGAGCAAGTCTATGGAAGGAAAGCTTTTAGCAACTGAAATGGACTTCCTCAGAAGATCGGCAAGAAAATCAAAATTGGAAAAAGTGCGAAATGAAGAAATAAGAAGAATAACGAAGAAAGAGATAACCATCATAGAAGAAATCCAAAAAAAACAATTAATCTGGTATGGGCATGTAAACAGAATGGGAGAAGAAAGGCTACCAAAGAATATAATGAAATGGATCCAAACTGGAAAAAGAAAACGAGAAAGACCCCGAGAGACATGGTTAAAGGGGGTAACAAAGGCAATGTCATTGCGCAGTTTACAAGCCGATGACTGGATGGACAGAAGGCAATGGCAGCAAAGAACCGGAAGGCGGATCACGCTGTAGAACCGGACTTATATATTATATATATTATAGTTAATAGGCATCGTTAAATAATGAAACCGAACACATCGAAATTAATTAAATATCGAATTGTTTAAGTGATATTTTCAAAAAGCCAATAACTCGGAAACGGTTGGTTTGAGGTACATTATGTGTATCTCGATTTTTGCTTAGAATTGAAGGAAGAACCGAAATATGCAATAATATACAGGTGGTTCCAATTAAAAAAATTAAACCTTGATGTGCCACAACTTTATGACCGACCCTGTTTACTTGAATGTATTACCCGCTAATAGATCTTTAAAAACCCTATAACTTTTATATTTAACTTTTTGCGGTACCTTTTATATTTTACCTAATAATCCACCGTTTCCATACATATCAGCGACCCTGTATATGTTATCAATTAATTAAATGCAACAGACTATTAAAGGACGTTCCTAACATTTTATTATTTAAGTAAAGGAATAAAATTCCTTTTATAACCTGTAGTAAAAGAACAGTATTAAATTACGTGGCCGTTGAACGGAAACAATAGAAACTTGCGCGGGCAAATTTTTCTCATCAAACCAAAGAGAAATACTTGACGGCTCTCGAATAATTCAGAACGCTGATCTAAAATCATATTAAAATTAATTTCAACAGAAAATATTCAACGTCATTATTAATTTTTCCATTATACTTTTTAGTTTATAAAAGAGTTTAGTTTATAAAAGAGTTTAGTTTATAAAAGTTTCAGATGTACCTATATTAATATAATTTGTTTTGTTAGAAATTAACTTTAGGAATATATATCAAAAGGAGAAGTTCCAGTGCTTTGTTATAAAATGACTTAATTTCTACAGTTGTAGAAAAATATTAAGTAATTATAATATTATAGTTGAATCAATTTCGCTTTCTTCTAAACTTACCCAAAATCTTCTCAATTTTTTAATTATAATTTTAAATTAAACCCTATGCATATTATTTAAAAAATTGACTGTTAAAATTGCTTTTCAAGGATATATAATTTTGCAGTACAACCATTTAAAAGAAATAGTTTTATTATAGTTTAATTTTAAGATGCTTTTGCTTTTGCACACTAATGCATCTGTCTTGAAAAAAAAAATCAAATAAAATTAATACTACTTTATAGAAATTTTAATATAATATTAAATTAGCAGTTTTAACTTTTAGCTGAAGAGAATAGTAGAATTTTTAGGTAGAAAATTAAGTATAACAAACGGTGATCCATTCATATTAAAATATCACGTAACCTAAAGGACAAATAGCTCTTTAGATTTCATGGTAAATTATTAATAAGAAGTATCTACTATATTACTCGCTCTACTACTATAATACACACTCCGATAAATAATAAAATATGTATATATGAAGGGTACATGAGAAAAACATATGCATTGCATAAAATATATTAATTTTTTTCAATTAAAATCACATGTATAATTACGACTCAAGTGCTCTACAGTAGAGCCTCTACTGGTTTTGCGGATTCTGCTGCTAACGCATAAAACACTCATTTTCTCTAATTCGGCTAGCGAAGGCATATCGAAGAAGGTGTCGAACTGAAAGCGACAGTGTTGCCATATTAAAATGTGTAATATCTGTAATACGTTTGACGACAATATCTTTGGATGAAAAATCTGCGTTATGTCCGGTACGTATTGAAAATCTATTCGTGTGTATTGAAAATTTATTAATGGTAATAAACAATAAAAATAAAAATTCTTTTATATAGGTACTGAATATTTCGTATTATCGAAAAAAGTCGTTTATTTGGATTGGAAATGACGAATTGTTGACGTTTGCCAAAATATTTTACCTATGAAATAGCAGCAATCTTCATTTCCAAGCAAACTCTGACGCCGTTCTTTATTTAATCATATTTGTTTTATTTGCTCTATCATATAATATTATATTAAACTGTTTAATGATAGAAAATCCGTATCATTAAGGTACTGTACCAAAATCCGTAAACCTACGAATTAATCCGTAATTCTGGCAACACTGTCCTCAGTAACCACCCACTCTGTCAACTCAAATTAGAACTACTGTACAGTAACTCTTTATCCGCTGCGCTGTAAATCAAAGGTTGTAAACGACTATCAGCGCGCAGGGGCGCAGGGCTAAACTAAATCTCGGACAGGTTGACTAGCGGCGACGGTATCGATAGCTACATCTCGGACAGGTTTTGTGCCACGAAATCGCCCATAAGGTTGCGCATGTTCTTACTTTTTCAATCAACGCTACATTGATAATCTAAGTAATCTAATGTAATAAATCTAATGTAATAAATCTAATGTAATAAATCTAATGTAATAAACCTAATGTAATAAATCTAATGTAATAAATCTAATGTAATAAATCTAATGTAATAAATCTAATGTAATAAATCTAATGTAATGAATCTAATGTAATAAATCTAATGTAATAAATACATACAATTTGTTAATTTGTTTATTACTCGCGGCAAGAGCTTTATGGTTGAAATATGGTAATCTCGGACCGCTCGTCGAGAGACGACGCAACGGTACGAGTCGGCAGCTTAGCTTAGTACTCGTTTGCAATGTAAACAGTGTTGCCATTCTGTTCCCTAATAAGTAACCGTCCAGTTAACAAAAAGTTATCGTTTAAAAAAAGTCAATCTACACTAGTGTTTCGACTACTGGCATGTGTATGACAATAAGTGCAATAGGTGTCATGGCGTTACTTAATGCTTTCTATGTTCGTTGTTTAATTGGGACGGCCCACGGTGGGGTATTAGCATGAAAAAGGTGATCGAAATTCGAAAAAGCAAATGTGTTTAAGATTTTCCTAAAAAGATAAATGATAAGTTAAATCATCTCTGCCATGAATGGCGTTGCTATGGGTGTGTTTAGTTGCATTCATTTGTTTCAACGAAACGTCAAAGTTGTTACTTCTCACAGATAAGAAGTAAATGGCTAAATTTTATGTTTAAAATTATAAATTGTTGTTGTTCTTGTGCTCTTTTTAGGTTTATATTATTGTTGTGATTGAAAATGGCTCAGCAAGCTGCAGGTATGTATTCTACAAAAACGTATTATTTATTTTGATATTCTCTATACTAACGATTTTTTTTGCAACTAAAAGTTAGGCGTTCAGAAAATTTGATTAAATTTGTGACATTTTTATTATACTTAGAAATTTAGTTGCGCATTTCGAAGAATTCAGCATATTGTCTATATACGTTTTACTTAGTAAACATTGGGCTTTCATACAGTAAAATAAAATACTGCGACTTTTTGCGACTTTGCTGATAAAATGAGAAAAACATTCTTGGTTTCCTCTAATTTGCCAATCAGTGATATACTAATGCCAGGTGTAAACCGCGGTAGCATTGTTGTGTACAAAGCGATCGCGTTAGTGTCATTAGCAGTATAGCACAATTTGGCATTAGTAGCGACTTTAGTGGTATGGGCATTGCTCGCGGATCAGTCGTAGCATTAGTAGTATTAGTTGCGATATTACTACTGACATTAGTGGCATTGACCGTGGAAACACTGGAACAGTGATTTTTCTTTCATTTTTTAGAATCGACGAATTATCCTTTATTTTGTTCATATTATTTCCTCTTTAATTGAAAATAGCAATAATTTATATAAAGTCTACATAAAAAAATTTCGATCAAATATCTGTGTCAAATACCCCACTGTGCGGCCGGTGAAGACACCGCGCGCATTCCACGCGTATTTATCAATGACCATTTGTATTTTCTTTGAATAAATTCCCTTTTTTGTGTTTTTTCTTTAAATATTGTTTATTAATGGAGTGTTTAAAGAGTCGCACTACTCATCACTAAAATTGCGTAGTTCTTCTCGGACGATAGAGACATGATTAACGACGAAACGAATGTTCGCGAGATTTCTATGGATCGCGGGATGTTCGTTAAAACAATTAACGCGGGGCCAAAGTTCTGCGCGCGCTCCGCGCGTTCGCGGCGCAGCGCACCAATGTATACGTACCATATTAATACAACTAAGCCTCGAGAACAAAATTATTATTTTCGAAAACTACATAATTAATAATAATAAATTAGTTTACCTACTTTAAATTAAATATATATGAAACATCCAGATTTGAATTCTAAAGAAAATTAAAGAGTACCTATAAAAAAAAATTGGAAAGTATTTAAATCAAATTAAAATATGTATATATGGAATTATTGTTTTTGTTTATTGCATTTCATTATGCAAATAATAATATATCTAACAGATAGGTGACGAAAGCCATTCACTTTATTCATAAATATAATGTGACATAAAATGGTAATCTTTCATAAAATGTTACTTAATACTAAATTTCTGTAAAATAATTATCCTAAACATACCTGTAGTTTTTCAGCATAATACACTAAACTTGCAAACACGACAATTCCCAATACAAGAAAAAACACTAAAAGTGCCAATTCTTTCGCTGACGCTTTGAAAGTGTGAATAAGTATTTTCAGTCCTGGAGAATGCCTAAAAATAAACTCGTCTTTAGTTTAATAAAATATAAATACTAGTGTTGGGAAAATTTGAATTAAATAATACGACTAATTCGATAGTAAATTAAAACTAACTAATTCGAATTATCTTTTTCGATATAATCGAGATAAAAATTAGTAGTATTTTATATTATATCTGTGGTAACCGAATTACAAATAAACATAAAACATAACCTCTTATGGACGAATACGAATATTAGTAATTAGTATAGTACTATTAGTAGTATTCTTTCGTTCTGAACGAACTGAAAATTTTCACTTAAACTGATTTATAAAGGGAATGGACAAAGAAAGGAACGATCCGATGTAGAAAAATCCAGAAATCATTGTTATTTCCTATACCACGTAGGAATATATCAGTTTAAGTGAAAATTTTCATTTCGTTCAGAACGAAAGAATACTACTATTATTTGGTTCATTTCCATCTCACCCAAATTTCACCGAACACCTGCCGAACACTAAAATTAATTTTCTTCTTTTATGTAACTAATTATTGATTGCAACTGATAAAATAAAAAGAAATACGAACCGCACGTAAGCAAGGACATACTTATATCGTTTTAGAAGAAGCTTTTATTTTAGATATGAGATTTTCAATAGGAATTGAAACAATCATAAACTCGGCACTTTTAAATTTAAAACTTTAAATTATGGTTTAATTTATTAAACGCCTTCGGCACAGTTAATAGAATACATTGAATAAAGAATATTTTTTTTTATTTTTTATTCAGTGATAGAATATAGATATGGCAATGGTTCAGAATTTGTTTAAAATAGCCCCTAGACGAGCACTAGCTGGGACGAATTTATTTTTAGGTTAAATTTATAATACTACTAAATAATTCGATTGTGAAATATGAATTATTACTAATTATTCGATGGTGAAAATAATTCGATTATTCCCATCACTAATAAATACTTGATACAAAATATAAAACATAAACACTGATGCTTATATTGGCCGTTGTACAGAGATTGCAGTAGTTGCCAATAAAAATATCACATGAATTTTTCCATCTAGAACGAAAACATACAGTTATATCCCCTGTAAATAATTTTAGAAAAATATATGTTAATTTGCACAAAATAATACGTATACGTTATACAGGGTCCAACAATAGTGCGTCGGGCATCTAGAGCTCATAGAAAAAAAACTTGAGAATTTGGTGCAAACCTAAAGTATGTAATAGATCGTATTTCAGGAAAATACTTTAACTTCTCTAGGGTGGCTCAAAAAAGTGTAAGAGAAACGTGATGTTTTTTTTAAATTTAACATCGTGTATACAGGGTGAGAAAATGAACAGTATTTAATATTGCCTCTACCGATGATAGTATGAAAATTTGGCGAAACACGTCAATTTACATATCAAGGGGGACAATTTTTGAAGCATTTGTTGTCGTGTTACTTTCAACCCCTTGACCCCCAGGGCACCTACCCCTAAAATGTTAAATAGCAACCCCTATTTCTTTTACCATTTACTGTGTTTCTTATAGAATTCTATATAAACACCATTATTTTTTAAATATTTATAAATATTTTAAAATTATTTGCCATGTATATCACAATTTGACTGCCTTAACTTTATAACCTCAATAAAACTATCGTTGCAGCGAATATTTTACGTTGTAACATATAAAAAGATATTAAGTAGTCGGTAATATTGCCACGCTGGGTTTAGGAAGTTCATATATTTTATATTTGTGCTCTTCCACGCAACCATCCAAACAAAATAAGTAAGAAAAGAGTAGTAAAATGAATAATCAAGCTATTACAGAAATATGATTAAGGATCTACATTATTCAATAATTAAGCCAGTGAGACTCCCTAAAGCACTCCGATATGTGATCAAATTTCCGTAAGTTATAAGAGTATCTTACACAAGCGCTCTCTAATTTTTGTAATGAATGCCGATCAACTAGACACAGAACAGGCCAATAAACTACGTCACAATATGAAATAAGTGAAAGAATTAGAGAGTCGTATAAACGGAGTTTAATTAGTGTGCTAAGAATGTCTCTGTATTTATAAAGTAATTTAAATTTCATATATGATTTTTTTAATATATATGTTTAACATGTGTTGAAAATCTTAAGTCAGTATCGAAATACAGGGTGGCGCCTCTCATACGCCGCGGAACCTCCAAGTAGAACGGTAGTTTATATCGAAATAAAATTTTGGCAGCATATGTAGGTTAACTGAAAGCATTTTATAAAAATATATACAGTTATACAGTTAATACAGTTTAATACAGTTATACAAAAAAAGTTACACATAAAAGTTGTGTTTTTTCTAATGGAACACCATATATATTAATTGATTTTCAGATTCTAGGAAACAAATAAAGCTGAGTTTTATTAAAGAAGCATATGCCTAAAATCTGAGGATTTTGACATATTTCACATATTGTGAAAATGAAAAGTAAATTTTAAATTACGATAACAGCTACCTAAATTTTAGTTGACCTTGTATAGGCTAATATTTAATTACAGTAACTATTGTATGTTAAACCAAATTGAAATTTGACCCAAAAAGTTATACAGGGTCAAGACTTGCAACGGTAGATAGGGTTGATACTGTTTTTGATCAGTATATCCCGGAAAGCTTAAAAACAGGGACAAGGGAGGCGAGAGGTTCTGAAGATAGGGTAAGCATAAAGTCCAATGTAGTAATTCCCAAAAATTTTAATTCCTTTTTGGCACACAGCCAAAATAAACAGGACTTGTTTTGGTTTTTGGCTCAAAACTTAGTAAAGATGGATGTACCGATTGGAAAGAAAATAATCTGCACATATGAGAACTTGGTCATTAGTTCCGATAATGGGGTTTCTTATAATCATATTTCCCCAACATTTCATGAAGAAGCAGATGCTCGACTCTTACTACATGTATGGCACGCTTCCACCTTTGAAGGACATACCAAAATTACTACATATAAAAACAGTAGATAGCGATGTAGTTGTTCTTGCAATATATGCTTTTCCGATGTTAGAGAACATGGGTTGAATATGGAACGGGAAAACTCTACAGTACCTTCCAGTTCACCAAATTCAGCAAAAACTTTCACCTGGTGTTTCAAACTTGCTTCCCTTCTTTCATGCTTTTTCGGGGGCAGATACTGTTTCAGGTTTTAGGGGAATCCGCAAAACTACAGCATGGAAAACATGGATGTCATATAGAGAAGTAGATAAAGCTTTTCTTAAATTTCAGAACATACCCTGCACCGAGACTATATTCCAAAACGAGAAAAACTTTTATGATTATTCAAAGATTTGTGGTACTTATATATCATTCAAAGCACTGCGGAAACTGTAAATGAAGCAAGGCGAATTCTTTTTTGCCAACATAACCGTTCCATCGAACATATTACGCCAACGTGTGAAGTTTTGCTAAATCATTTTAAAAGAGCAATTCTGCAGTGTTTCGTGTGGAGAAATTGCTTTCAACGAGATGCAGAGCAGCTAAATCCAGGCGGTTGGGGATCAATTTGAACCACTTTGGTCTACAAGTTCCGATACTTCAATGGAAAAATTACAAGAGCTTATCGCCTGTAAATGCACCAAAAGATGTACTTCAAAATGTCGTTGTGTAAAAAATACCTTAAGGTGCACAATGCTCTGCAGATGCGAAGGTCAATGTACCCGCGAATAGTTTTCTTTTATTTGGGAATATTGTACATATTATTATTAGTTACTATTTTTAATTATAACGAGGTTTTAATTATAACGAAGTTAAGTTAATTTTAAGTTATTTTTAGTTTAATAATGTATCCTCCCAAGTTATTTTTAAGAACATTTTTAGTTATTTTTTAGGAGAATTCAGAAGAACTTTCAGAGCTGGACAATACAATGCTCTGTAAACGCGAAGGCCATGCATCCGTGAAGTTTTCTTTTTTTGGGAATATTATACATATTATTATTAGTTACTATTTATAATTATAATTAATATGAAGTTAGGTTAATGTTAATTTTTAGTTTAAAAAAGTATCCTCTCAAGTTATTTTTAGGAACATTTTTATTCATTTTTTAGGAAGATTCAGAGGAATTTTGAGGGCTGGACAATGCTCTGTAAATGTCATGTACCCGCGAAGTTTTCTTTTGCTTGGGAATATTGTACATATAGTTACTATTTTTTAGTAATAAAATTAGTGTTAAGGTATTACTTTAATATTAATCTTAGATTTATTTTTATTGTTTAAGAAATATGTTATCGCAAAAGTTATTTTTAGCTTGAGAAATGTATCTTCTGAAGTCATTTTTAGGAAAATACTTTAAATACATATAATACTATAGAAAATCTAGAAACGCTATAATACTATACATATATACATTATACATTTTGATAAATTTTTAGGTGTATATGGGTTTGAGGGGTGGACAGGAACAAAAAAGAAAAGACTTAAGAGGAGTGTAGAAAAAATAAATATTTAAAAAATATTTATTTTTTGTACATTTTGTTTCTTCAAATAAAAAGTTTTATTTTGCTTTCAAAACAAATTTGTAACATTTCATAGACAAGGCAAGGGAGAGGGGGGTGTCGATGGGGGGAGGGGGGCAAAAAATAGTTAAAATTAAGAGTAATGTACGTAATAAACAATTTTTTTGTTTTGTTGTTTTATCGTTTCAATTTGTTTAGAATAAAACCGTCATTTTTCATTCAACCAAACCAAACCAAACCCCTCCTACAAAAAAAACTGAATATAGTTTTTTTAGCAAATTATTCAAGCTTTAAAATGAGCTAATAAAATCGGTTAAATATTAACAAAGTTACAAGTGATAATCCAATTTTATGCTAAAAATTTGGTCAGCCATTTTGACGACGTCATCAAAGGATGATCCGAAGATGCGGGAGATTGTCTCCCACCAATTTTTGAAGCCTTATTATCTCTAGAAAGCGTGTGCCAAATTTGGTGCTGGTGTCCGGCACTGAAATATTTTTAGGCTAACGCCACTGACTATTTGTTTTCTAAGCCAAAGA